AACAGATAATTTGAGAGACCCCCACCTCCAAAATAACCAGAGCAAAATGAACTAGAGGTGTGGCTCATGCACTAGTATTCCTGCTTTGCAAGCACAAAGCCCTGAGTTCAAACCCCAGTCCCACCAAAAAAAAAAAAAAAAAAAAGTTTTCTGACCTATTCTGTTCAATTCCATCTAATTGGTGTAGTTAAATTGGCTATTGATATAGTTGGATTTGTATCTACTATGTGTGTAACTTTTCTATTCATTGCACTTGTCCTCTTTTATTTATCTTCCTCTTTTTCTGGGGTTTTAATTGAACATTTTATATTCCATTTTCTCTCCTTTGTTAGTATTATCAATTTACATCTTTTAAAGAAGTTTTTAATAGGTAAAGAAACTGTCAAAATATCCCTATTTGCAGACGACATGATCCTGTACCTTAAAGACCCAAAAAACTCTACTCAGAAGCTTCTAGACATCATCAATAGCTATAGCAAGGTAGCAGGATATAAAATCAACCTAGAAAAATCATTAGCATTTCTATACACTAATAATGAGCAAACTGAAAAAGAATACATGAAAATAATTCCATTTACAATAGCCTCAAAAAAAATCAAATACCTAGGTGTAAACCTAACAAAAGATGTGAAAGACCTCTACAAGGAAAACGATACACTTCTGAAGAAAGAGATTGAGGAAGACTATAGAAAGTGGAGAGATCTCCCATGCTCATGGATTGGTAGAATCAACATAGTAAAAATGTCGATACTCCCTTAAGTAATCTACATATTTAATGCAATTCCCATCAAAATTCCAATGACATTCATTAAAGAGATCGAAAAATCTACCGTTGAAATTTATATGGAAACACAGGAAGCTACAAATAGCCAAGGCAATACTCAGTCAAAAGAACAATGCATAAGGTATCACAATACCTGACTTCAAACTATATTACAAAGCAGTAGCAATAAAAACAGCATGGTACTGGCACAAAAACAGACATGAAGACCAGTGGAACTGAATAGAGGACCCAGATATGAAGCCACAAAACTATAACCAACTTGTCTTTGACAGCGGAGCTAAAAATATACAATGGAGAAATAGCAGCCTCTTCAACAAAACTGCTGGGAAAACTGGTTAGCAGTCTGCAAAAAACTGAAACTAGATCCATGTATATCACCCTATACCAAGATTAACTCAAAATGGATCAAGGATCTTAATATCAGACCACAACTCTAAAGTTGATACAGGAAAGAGTAGGAAATACTCTGGAATTAGTAGGTATAGGTAAGAACTTTCTCAACGAAACCCCAGCAGCACAGCAACTAAGAGATAGCATAGATAAATGGGACCTCATAAAACTAAAAAGCTTCTGTTCATCAAAAGAAATGGTCTCTAAACTGAAGAGAACACCCACAGAGTGGGAGAAAATATTTGCCAGCTATACATCAAAGGACTGATAACCAGAATATATAGGGAACTTAAAAAAGTAAATTCTCCCAAAACTAATGAACCAATAAAGAAATGGGCAGTGAACTAAACAGAACTTTCTCAAAAGAAGAAATTCAAATGGCCAGAAAACACATGAAAAAATGCTCACCATCTCTAGCAATAAAGGAAATGCAAATTAAAACCACGCTAAGATTCCACCTCACCCCTGTTAGAATAGCCATCATCAGCAACACCACCATCAACAGGTGTTGGTGAGGATGCGGGGGAAAAGGGACCCTCTTACACTGTTGGTGGGAATGTAAACTAGTACAACCACTCTGGAAAAAAATTTGGAGGCTACTTAAAAAGCTAGACATTGATCTACCATTTGATCCAGCAATACCACTCTTGGGGATATACCCAAAAGACTGTGACACAGGTTACTCCAGAGGCACCTGCACACCCATGTTTATTGCGGCACTATTCACAATAGCCAAGTTATGGAAACAGCCAAGATGCCCCACCACTGACAAATGGATTAAGAAAATGTGGTATCTATACACAATGGAATTCTATGCAGCCATGAAGAAGAATGAAATGTTATCATTCGCTGGTAAATGGATGGAATTGGAGAACATCATTCTGAGTGAGGTTAGCCTGGCCCAAAAGACCAAAAATCGTATGTTCTCCCTCATATGTGGACATTAGATCAAGGGCAAACACAACAAGGGGATTGGACTTTGAGCACATGATAAAAGCTTTAGCACACAAGGGAGGGTGAGGATAGGTAAGACACCTAAAAAACTAGCTAGCATTTGTTGCCCTTAACACAGAGAAACTAAAGCAGATACCTTAAAGCAACTGAGGCCAATAGGAAAAGGGGACCAGGACCTAGAGAAAAGGTTAGATCAAAAAGAATTAACCTAGAAGGTAACACACACGTACAGGAAATCAATGTGAGTCAATGCCCTGTATAGCTATCCTTATCTCAACCAGCAAAAACCCTTGTTCCTTCCTATTATTGCTTATACTCTCTCTACAACAAAATTAGAAATAAGGGCAAAATAGTTTCTGCTGGGTATTGAGGGGGTGCGGAGGGAGAGGGAGGGGGTGGAGTGGGTGGTAAGGGAGGGGGTGGGGGCAGGGGGGAGAAATGACCCAAGCCTTGTATGCACATATGAATAATAAAAGAAAAAAAAAAGGGTTGGGGTATGGCTCAAGTGGTAGATAGAGTGCTTGCTTAGCAAGTATGAGGCCTGGCGTTCAATCCCGAGTACTGCTAAAAAGAAGTTTCTGATGAGTTCCCTAGAGTTTGTAGTGAACAATTACAAGTCCACTGTCAAATACTGTTATTCTGCTTCCTGAGTGGTATTGGTTCCTTATTTCAGAGTATTCCTATTTCCTCCCTTCCATGCCATATTGTTAGCTCATACTTCCCTTTTTTGGTAAGACTGGGATTTGAACTCAGAGCTTTGCACTTGCAAAGCAGGAGCTCTTTCACTTGAGCTACACCTCCTGTCCATTTTGCTCTGGTTATTTTGGAGATGGGATCTTGCAAGCTATTTGCCTAGGCTGACCTCAAACCACAATCTCAGCACTCCAAGCAGGCTTCCTGGTGTCACCTATTTCCCTTATTTATAAGCTGGAATTCTACAGTACATTGTTGCTATTAGCATAAGCAAAAAGTTACCTGTTAGTTCAATTGAGAATATAAAAAGCAAAAAAAAATAATAATGATAATGTTTATTTATTCCTTCTCTAACCATTCTTCCTCTCTTCATGTGAATAGGAGTTTCCAAGTTCCGTCATTTTCCTTCTTTGAAGAAGTTTTAACATAGGAGTTTCCAAGTTCCGTCATTTTCCTTCTTTGAAGAAGTTTTAACATTGTTTGTAAGGCAGATGTACTAGCAATACATTTCCTTGAGTGTTCATTTTTGTCTAAGAAACTAATTCATTCTCTCTCTCTCTCTCTCTCTCTCTCTCTCTCTCTCTCTCCCCCTCTCCCTCTCTCCCTCTCTCCCTCTCTCTCCCTCCCTTCCCCCCTCCCCCTCACCGCCCCCACTCCCCAGGAGTCTCACTATGTAGCCCAGGCTGCCTCAACCTCCCAGGTAGCTGGGACTACAGATATGTACGGTCATGCCTTCTCTTCTTTCTCTTCTTTCTCTCCTTTCTGAACACTTCAGATATTTCACTTCACCCAAGAAGCTTGAATGGGCAGTGTAATGTAATTCTAAAAACTTCTTTTTCTTTAGATGATGACATTTTTCCCCCCGTCTTTTTTTCAAAATTTCCCTTGTCTTTGGTTTTCTACAGTTTGGGTATGTTGTGCCTAGAGTGTATACTTGGCATTTATCTTGTTTGGTGTTCGCTGAGCTTCTTGGATCTGTGGTTTGGTATCTTTCATTAATTTTATAAATTGATTCTGCTATTCTTAATCCTTAGCTGTTGTGGTCATTGCATTGTTGAATGATCTGTGTTGCTGCCTGCCTCTTCAGCATTCCCATTAAAGCCCTGAGCATCTATTCACAGTTACTTAGAATCTTGATTAGTGCAAAATTTCTGCAATATCTGAGTTTGCTTCTGACATCTACTTCGTTTCTAGGGAGAGAGAGAGTGTGTGTGTGTGTGTGTGTTTGTGTGTGTGTTTATTTTTGCTTTTGGTTTTTTTTCATTTGGTTTTATTTATCATGCCTTGTAATATTGAAAGCAGGGCATATTGTATTGAGTAATTGGAAATGAGGTATATAGGCCTTTTAGTGTAGGATTTGTTTATTTGGCTAGGTGTTAGGCTGTTCTCTGTTTCATATAATAACTGTGACAGAAGATTTTCTTTGTATTTCCCTAGAAACTCCTTATATAGAGTCTATATCTCACAGGTTTCTCAGTCTAACCTACTGTTACTATATGGAAACTCTGTTGCTGTGGTAGTGAGGAGACACTTTTTATACTCTCATGATTAACTTTCCCTTTTTAGTTGTTGTTGTTGGACCAGAATCCCTGGGCTTTAGTACAATCCCTGTACTCTTCTTTCAAAAGAGTTTCTCAGCCTGGGGGAGGTGGTGTTATAGAGGGGTGTGGAGTTGGCTAATTGCCTGCCTTTCCCCCAGGTGAGATAAGGCCCTAATAAAGTAGTTTCTCTTGAGGGCATGGTTTGGTATGGAAAACTAAAGAAAGGATTTGGTCATGTTTCAAAATGGTTGCCCCTCTTCTAAGCCCAGAGAACACAGGGAATTTTCTCATCCTAGATTTTCACCCTGAAAACCTAGAGGGCCCCCAGAGGTAAAAATAAGGAATATGTGGGTCCCCAGGAGTTTTAACTTGAGCTTGTCCACATTCAGCCTCCAGCAACATGACAGTTACCTTAATTCTCTAATGGATCTAAGAGAAGTTGTTGTGTTTTTGGTCTTTCAGCTTTCTTATTGTGAAGACGTGAGTCTCAACTTCTAAGCTCTTCTCATGCTGGAGAAGAAACCAGAAAAATCTCTGTACTTTTTAACTTAAGATTTTGGAAAGAGTTTGAACTTTTTTTCAATTATAAAAGTAGTAGTTGCATGGACAGAATCATGGGTGTGTCTGTGTTTGTTCAGGTTGAAAGAGCAGAACCTTGTGAAAGAGCTGAGGCCCCGAGACCTCCTAGAGAGCAGCAGTGACAGTGATGAAAAGGTCCCTTTGGCCAAGCCTTCCTCACTATCCAAACGAAAACTTGAGCTTGAGGTAGAGACAGTGGAGAAGAAGAAGAAAGGACGCCCTCGAAAAGACTCCCGTCTCCTACCTGTGTCTTTGTCTGTCCAGGTGAGGTCAATAGACCATTCTCCGTACCCCCACACTACCTCCCTGGGCTCAGCACTGAGAGGCTTATGTGCTGTGGTGCACCTCATTAGTGTGGGATGCCACAGAAACCAGCTGACTTAAGGACGCATACGGTACTTTGTGACGCAGAGGCCAGGTTCCCTCATACATGCCCTCCACCTACTCAGAGCCCTTGAGCAGGTCCCCTGGTGTCAGCCCTCTTGTCCATAAAGTGAGGATCCTTGTAGCATTCCCTCCAACTTTGCTCCTTCCAGAGAAGGTAAGAATGCCTGGGGAGCAGACCCAGAAGGGAGGCTTTTGCCTAACTCTATCCTGTATTGTTGGGGTAGGGCTCAGGAACATTTCTGACTTTTCCAGTCTCCAGCTGCCCTCACTGCAGAGAAGGAGGCCATGTGTCTGTCTGCACCAGCGCTTGCACTGAAGCTGCCGATTCCAAACCCCCAGAGAGCATTCACCCTCCAGGTGAGTGCTGGAACCCTCTACCAACTCCCTTACTGACATGCACATAGTCCCTCCCCTCTCCGCACCCTTTCTTGTCACTACCTTGGGGACTGGTTTCCAGTGGCTCTCTACCCTTTCTGGAAGAAGTCATTGCTGATCAGGGAACCCCTCCAAATCTTAACAAGAGTGCTAGCCTCCTGTACCCCCACCCACATGCTTCTTCCTCTCTATGGCTTTGCCCTTAAACTCTCAGCCACAAGGACTGCCCTTACCATCACATGTTATAAATAGCCAGCTCCTTCAAGACTCATATCATGTGTCCTTCAAGACTTGTCTCATGCAAGCCTCCTGCATCTCCCCCCTCACCCCTGGTAGCCTCAGGCTTGCTGCCTATGGGACTGTGTGGTTGTAATCTGTCTCCCGATGGTCCCACTGACCTGTCTGTTGGAGTAGAGGAAGCTTATAACAATGAACTTATTCAAACATAGCTCTAGAACAAATAATTCCTTATACCCAGATACTCTCTGGCCACATGGCCCAGCACCAGTGTCACCCCTCTCCCGCCATGACTGCTTTGCACACAGTCACCTCTCTGCACCTTCTTTGTACCTAGCTCAGGTGCATGTGTATGCGTTAATCCTGCAGACCACACATGGCTCCAGGCTCAGGCTGGTCTTCTTAGGGAATTGAAGAGCAGGCACCAGCTCTTCCCAGCCATATGTCCTTCTGGCTGTGGAGCAGGTAGCACTGAAGGAAACTCATGTGCTTTGCTCTTGTTGCTGGTATGAGCAGAGGCAGGGGGCACCTCCAGCAGCCAGCAGCTCAGAATTCGCCTCTCAAACTCTACTAGCCCTTCCCTGGTTGTCTTCACCACTGCATGCCACTTGGAGCTGACCTTAGGTTTTGGGTATCTGTGATTCCTGGGCACAGCCTCCCCTCTGCTCCAGCTTACCCACTCATATGGCCAAATGATGCAAACTGAGCAGCTGTTCTGCCTGGGTTTCCACATGGAACATGTTAGTCAGCTCTCCAGACATGTGTAAGGCTGAGCCTATTTGGTGCTAGGCCCTTACCACTCATGTTGAGGACATCTCACTAACACAGTCACAGGTGAGCAGAGCAAGGCGCACTGCCACAGACACTGGAGAAACCTTGCAGGTTTCTAGTCTTGCCTCATAGAACTACCAGAGCTCTCTTCTCACTAAATACTGTAGTCTTTGGATTCTTCAGATAAGAGGCTAGAAAGACAAGTCTCACTCCCAGCTTTGTCCCAGGTTTGCTGCAGTCCTTACAGTGTGTTCTTGGACAAGTCACTCCCCTGTGGTGGCCTGCTCTGCTCTTCCTTACCCTCTCCCTTGGCCACTTCTGTGTCTCTACCATGCTGCAGAGCCCCTGAGCATCGAAACTGTCCTGTGATCACTACCTGCACAGGCCTACTGTCACCTGAAAAGATGTGTTTTCCTTCCTCTGTCCAGGTGAGCTCTGACCCTTCCATGTACATTGAGGTGGAGAACGAAGTGACAACTGTAGGGGGTGTGAGGCTGAGCCGCCTGAAGTGCAACCGGGAAGGGAAGGAGTGGGAGACGGTGCTCACTAGCCGTATCCTCACTGCTGCCGGCAGCTGGTAAGGGCGGGTGTGTAGAGCAGGCCCATGTGCATTCTGGAATGCATTCTGGAATGCTGCCTTACAGAGGCTTCTGCTGGGGCTTCCTTGAGGCCAAACATGTATGTTTATCATCTCAGTCCCTGCAATACTCAGTGACATCAGCATCACTATTTCCATAGAATAGATGGGGAACCTGAGCCCTTGAGAGTTATCCAAGTCAGACTTTGAACCTGGTGGTTTCATTCCCTTGTCTCACCAGATCCCTGAAGTCTCAACTTCCAAACTGAAACTTCCAGACTGACCTAGGCAGGTTCTTTCCCTGGACCCCAGGTTTTCATTCAAGGCTGAATTGAATTGATTGTCTCCCTAATCCCTAGTCCTTCTCTCCCCAAATTCTGCACTTTGGGGAGGATCTTTCAGTGGTTAATTGTCCAGGATCTTCCCATGGGCTCCTGGCACTGCACATGCGCTCCATCCCTCCTCACTTAATCTGGAAAGATGACCAACATTTTCCTCAGGTGACTGCAGGCATAGGGTCCAGTCAGGCAGTGTGACAGACTCTTACCAGGGTTTTACATGGTGATCAGTCAGAAACAGTCATTTTAATTAGACCCTTAGCTGTTTGTCATGAGGTCCTATGTGAGTGCCTTCACACACATCTGCAAACCATGACCTTAGGTTAGATTCCCATAGGCCTGAGTGAGTTCATGTCTTTAGGCGCAGAAGGACCTCACCATTCTCTTTCTCCCTCAAGTTCTCTCGCAGGACAAGCATGCTAAGCTCCAAATACCTGTGTGTTAGATGCTTTTGTGAGCTATCAGACTCCATCTTTGGTCCTATAGTACGTGGCATGCCCCAGCTGGGGGCAAGGATGTCAGCAATTTCCCCTCTAGCAATATCAAAGCTAGCAAGGCTCCCTGCTAGTTTACTGTGACTTTTCTCCTTTGCAGTTTGATCAACCCAGATGCAGCCTGCAGACCTGCCTCATGCTAAACTGCAGAGCAACAGCTGCCTTTGCTTAGGGAGCCCCTGACCATCACACATGAGCAGACAGAGCCCAGTCCTAGTGCCACAGAGCTCCCTACTATCTGGCCCTGCTCAAAGTTTTATTTGATTCATGCTTCCAAAACAGACATTTGGGAATACAAGTGTCTTACTTGGCCTTTCCCTCCTAAGACGCCAGTAATGTGCCTCATTAGGCACATTAGAAATTGGCAGAACTCTTTCCTTCTTGCTGTGTTTGGGGTGACCTCACCAATGCAGAACACAGCCCTAGCTCAGCAGGGGCTCTATATGGTCTGCTGTGGCCAGGACCTCACTGTGTTTACTATATACCTGTGCCTGTGGCTGGATCTCAGGAGGGTCCTCACTGAGAAGCCAGTAGCCTCTTTGTGCCAGGCCAGCCTGAGGGCCTTGTGGTCACTCAGGGAAGGCAGTGTCCAGACATATGTTTTCCTTTGAAGCATTCCTTGCTAAGGGAATGATGTGCCCCACCTAGCCTACCTCAGCAGAGACCTGTCTGGACTACTCTGGTTAGTCATAGCCAAGAGACTGCCCACAGGCATTCTGTGCCCTGATCTGATGAGTGAGGCACACTTCCTGGGTGACCATCAAGTGCATTGACTCTGCACAGCTCCTGCACCCTGCAGTCAGTGTCTGTGTGAGCTCAGGAAGACACATGTATCCTGTGGGTAGGAGGAGGATAGAAATCTCCTTCATATGAGATCTTGCCATCCCACCCTGTCCCTTTCTCACCCAGGCCTTCCTTGCCATTCCCCTCTGGCTGCACCTGCTTAGTAGAGGGCTGTATTGGGCTCAGATAGGGCATAGGTGAAGGAAGGCTCTGCATCTCCCAGCACTTCAGCTAGCTGTGATGCCTGCCCCTCTTCTGCCTTTACAGTGATGTGGTGTGTGTTGCCTGTGAAAAGAGGACGCTGTCGGTGTTCTCCACCTGTGGTCGCCGCCTCCTCCCTCCCATTCTCCTGCCGTCCCCCATCTCTACTTTGCACTGCACAGGTTCCTACGTCATGGCACTCACCGCTGCTGCCACGCTGTCTGTCTGGTGAGAGGCAGGCACAGGGTGGGGTGGTCTCCAGGCTGGGCAGCGTAGGGCTGTTCAGGCCTTCTTCATTGCAGGGCAGGGGCTGGGGACACAGCAAAGCAAATGACCATCAGGCCCAGGAGGAGGCTCTGAGCAATCAGTAGCATTGCTTGTGTTGCTGCCCTATGGCCTGAGGGCTGAGGAGGCTTTGCAAGGGGAAGTGAGTCAGCCCCTGCCCTGCTGTCATCCTGATAGGAGCCAGCCACATGGAAAATCATACTGCCTGATGGCATGTGCCAGGGTCCTTCTTAGGTGGGTCCATCAGCAGTGAGGCCTTGGCTGGCAGAGGGCAGCCCCATTCCTGGTGTGACTGCCTGGCCTGCTTCTCCCAGAGTGGGTGTGGGTATTAGGATGGCCCTGTGGCTCTGTTGCTCCTGACCTCTTCTCTAGTCTTGGGCAGAGGGCTGGGGCACATGTGGGGACAAGGGTGTCTGAGCAGCTAAGACACTCTGATACATTTACCTCAGGTGGAGAGTAAGCTGTTCCCTGTCTCCCTCTTAGGGATGTTCACAGGCAAGTGGTTGTGGTGAAAGAAGAGTCTCTACACTCCATCTTGGCAGGTAAGCCCTGCAGTGGGTACCCCTCCTTCCCTGGAGCCTGAGTAACACAGATGGGTCCTTTCATCCAGACTCAGACTAAGGCTTCTGGAGGCAGGGTTTGTGCTTATGTAGCAGGGAGTCATGCTCTTTGCATAAACTAAATGAGTCCCTTGGAGGTAACAAAGATCGTGGTGGATTGAGAATGGCTCCTCCAGAGCACCTAGGAGCCATGTCAGCATTAAGGGGCTTTATTGTTGGGGTTGTGTGTGTCAGGGTTCAGAGTTCCCTTGTTGAGTATATAAACACTTGCTGACCAGAGCACACCAGAACTGATTCCTGTGGTCTTCCCAGGAAGTGATATGACGGTGTCACAGATCTTGTTGACGCAGCATGGAATCCCAGTGATGAACTTGTCTGATGGGAAGGCGTACTGCTTTAATCCGTCACTCTCTACATGGTAAGACGCCGACTCCCTCCCCTGTTCTTCAGGAGTGTCAGTCTACACTAGACAGCAGAGTGAAGGCTCTGGGTCCTGCTGGTCAGGTCTACCCTGCCCTGCTTCTTCTGGAGTTAGGTCCAGCCAATATATACCCTACAATCTCCATAGGATGCTGCTATGCTGTGGCCTTCCTGCCCTCAGAGCCTGTGCATAGAGCCTCTGTCCTGCATTATTTTCTGGAGCCAGTTTTATTGGAATAGCCATTTGAACATCTTCATGGTTCTTGACAGGTATTTTGAGACTGGCTTCCTTAGCCATCATCAACGTAAGAGAGTCAGCTCCATCGTAGCCTTGCCAGTGTTAGCCAATTTTGTGCGCAGGACCGAAGCAGCCCTTTAGTCTTCCTTAGTAAATTAGTAAAGGTGTACACTCACCTGGGTGTTAGGACTTTTTCTCTGCCCAGTATAGAATTTGGAGCACTTTCTGTATTTGTAAAATCTTCTTATACATCAAAGATCTTTATGTATGTATGTATATATGTATGTATCTACTTTTGGCAGTACTGGAGGAGTTGAACTGAGAGCCTCGCACTCAGGTGGTATCTAGGTAGGTGCCACTCCGCCACTCCGCCAGCCCCTTTTGCTTTGGTTATTTTGAGATAGGGTTCCACTTTACGCCCAGGCTGCCTAGACTGAAATCCTCCTGTTTGTCCTTCCCCGCATAGCTGGAATAACAAGCATGAATGCCCTCACCCATCCACTGGTTGAGATAGGGTTTCATGAGCTTTTCCCCAGGCTGTCCTCGAGCCTCAGTCCTCCTGATCTCTACCTTCTGAGTAGCCAGGATTACAGACTTGAGCCACTACACTCGGCTACATCAGAGATCTTAACCCAGACTTACAAAATATGCAGATTGTATACCTGACTCTCCAAGAAATTCTTTCTCTGCCTAAACCTTTGATCCTTCCAACCCAATGCTTGCTACCTTCTAGCCCCTTTCCTGTTAGGAGTTGCCAAGCCCAAGTTCATACTCACACTGAGGTTTCAGTATTCTTCATTTAAAAAAAGAAATCTCTGCCACCTACTCTCTCAAATTGCAAAAAGTTGCATATTATGTATGATTACCATAATGATAGAAGCAAACTGATGAAGACAAGCTGGGTGTGGTGGGACATGCCTTTAATCCCAGCACTTGGGAGGCTAAGACAGGAGAAGTGAGAGTTCAAGGCCAACTTGGACTTGAACAAAGGGAGACCATGTTTCAAAAAAACAAAAAATTCTTTATTTTGGACACATTTACAAAGGTGCTCAGCTGTTTCATGGAGAATTGTGTGTGTGTGTGTGTTTGTGTGTGTGTGTGTGTGTAAGTGTGAGTGTGAGTGATACTGGGGTTTGAAATCAGGGCCCCCACCTTTAGCCACTCCACCAGCCCTTTTTTGTGATGGGTTTTCTTGAGATAGGATCTCGCAAACTATTTGAATCACAGTCTTTCTGATCTCTGCCTCCTGAGTAGCTAGGATTATAGGTGTGAGCCACTGGCTCCCGGCAAGAATGTTTTCTTAACAACATGTGAAGGGATGTTGCCTGTCAGAGTAGCTGTCCCAGATGTTGGAGAGGCACAGGAAAGCTAGAGGCCTGGCATTCTCCAGCAGCTACAGCAGGCTCAGAGCACACAGGGCCCTGGGCAGCCACAGCAGTGTGTGAGCCAGGCCTCCAGAACAGACTTTACACACAGGGCCCCTCAGACATTAGGAAGCAAGACCATGGAGCTGAAGTGTTTACAGTGAGAGCCCTGTCAGTGACCTTTCCTTAGGAACAGTCATTTATCAGGCCCATGACTAGGAAACCTGCCAGTGATGGACACCTGTGCTGGAGGGCAGTGGTTCTCAGCCTCTGCTGACTTGTTGCCAGTGCATTGGCTTCCTTTGCTAGCCTCCTCTGGCAGGTCTCCTGGTTTTTCTGACCTCTACTTCTACCTTTGCCTCCTAGGAACCTGGTTTCTGACAAGCAGGACTCACTGGCCCAGTGTGCGGATTTTAGGAACAGCCTGCCATCCCAGGACGCCATGCTGTGCTCAGGACCGTTAGCCATAATCCAGGGCCGCACCTCCAAGTACGTGAGTTGAGAGCGCTGGCCAGTGTCAGCAGTGCTGCCCTAGGAAGTGGCCAGACCTGGTCTCTGGTTGTCTGTCCCCTCTATCCCAACAGCTACTCAACACAAGCAGCGGTGTCCAAAATCTGTGGGCCCACATCAAATAATATCTCAGGGGTGACTGAAACAGGCCTTGTCACTTCAGGCCTAGCTGACAGTCTATAGGTGCTAAGGATCATAGGTCCCCATGTGAGGCAGTTATTTGGGGTGGGGAATGGGCTTACCGTCTTGTCATCTCAGGAAACTGGATGGCACATGCAGGGTAGGATACTTCTGGAGCCAGGTGGCCTGGATGGGATGAGGGATGGTCAGGTAGGCAGGTTGACAGGAGTCTATGGTACTTTCCAAGACTGGCTAGTAGGTGCCCACCACCCCACCATCTCCTTGGTGGTACCCAGGGCACATGGGAGCAGCCTCCCTGACCTCTCCCTCATTGAGTCTACACTGCCAATCTCTGCAGCTCTGGAAGGCAAGCTGCCCGGCTCTTCTCCGTGCCTCACGTGGTGCAGCAGGAGACCACATTGGCCTACCTAGAGAACCAGGTCGCAGCAGCACTTATCTTGCAATCCAGCCATGAGTACCGCCATTGGCTCCTCCTCTACGCACGGTACCTTGTGAATGAAGGTGAGGTCACCCTAGAAAAGGATATCTTCTGACAACATTTCTCTTCCTTCTCTGAGTCCCTCTTTTCCTGACCTCAGCTGCAGCCCAGTGCCTCCCCTATGACCTTCTAGCCTCAGCATGTTTGCCCCCCTTGGCAGCATCCTCCATAGAAAGCAAGGTGTGCTGGAAGAGGCAGCTGTAATGTCCTTGGAGTGACCTCCAACAGTCTCTCATGCCTCTCTGGTCAAGCCTTCTGTCCTGCCTTATCAGTCCTTCCTCCCACTTGAACTCTGCCTCCAGGGTCTGTGACACAGGACTGGCCCTCCCAGAGCTCTCCTGTGACCCACCCAGCTCCACGCCTAGTTCCAGAGAATTCTCCACAGCTTTTCCTGGCCCTTTTGCTTTGTTCTTGTTACCTTCCCCATTTTGATTTATGGGTTAAAGAAAAAAAGTACAGAAAAGACAGAGAAAAATGTACCAAATGCCTACAAATGTAACTTCCAGAACTAACATGCCATACCCGCCTCCTACTGTAAATCTGAGAATGTGTTTATATGCCCTTGTAATCACAACAGACATGCTGATCCCACCTCACTCCTCAATGACTAATTGCTCTCCCACCTGGTCTGTGAGGCTGTTCCATATGTGTGGTCACTAGCTTTCCTAAATATTCTAGGTCCTCAGACCTGGAGTACTCCAGTCATATCTTGAGCCTCGCACCCAATTTCCCCCATAATCACCTCTTCTCTGGCTTGTCTTTTCCTGGGGGTTGAGCAGGACTACCCTTGGTGCCCACATATAGGCCCTGCCTCCTTAGGCCCACCAACTATTGCTTCTGACAGGAGGAATCAAGTGTTACAGTGAGATCCCATTTGCTTCCCAAATTCGTCAGCTTCTAACTTCATCCCTCCTGTTCTCTGCCTCCATTCTGCCCATTCCCTATCACTTCAGCTGCCCTTAAGCACAGCCTAACCCCCGGACTCTGCCTTCTGCCTTTCTGGAAGCTCCACCCACACTGCAATGCTCAGAACCCTTGATTCCTCTGCATGCAGTCATCACTATATAGTTGACCTTCACCATCTACTCCTTCCTGCAGTCTACCTCTGACTCTCCTGATCTCTTCTCACACCAGCTGCTGGCCTGTCTTCTGTTAAACAGGTCTCACCAGCCCACACCCCTCCTACCATAGTTTGCCATGTTTTCCCACCACCTTGAGGAGTTCATCATAGAACTGTCCATGTCTCATTTCTCCTGTGGGACCAGCCCACAGAGAGGTGCTGCATACACTGTCAGGTGTGCAGAATCTGTGATCATAGAGCTCTGTGCCCCAAACTGAAAAATACAGAAGTGTTTTGCCCATGGAAGGCAATGAAATGTGTTCATTCTGTTTTGATATACACAACTACCTAGCATATTCTTGATTTTTATTTCTTTTTATAATGTGTTCCTATTTCTGTTTTTGTTTGTTTGTTTTTGTTTTTGTTGTTTTGTTTTCTATAATTAGGGTTTGAATACCGACTCCGAGAAATATGCAAGGACTTACTGGGTCCGGTTCACTGCTCCACTGGAAGCCAGTGGGAGTCAACAGTAGTGGTAGGTGCTTCTTTCATTCTTGCCACAAGAATTCTGTCTTGACACATGGAGGTAGAGATTTTTTTTTAAGTCAAAGTGCTCCGAAGGTCCTCCCCAGGAGACTTGCAGTATTTTGCCCTGGGTCCCAGCGTCAATGACAGGCCAGCATGCTGGCAATCCAAGACTGGGCAGGAGCTGGGCTCTGGGCATGGGGAGCCTGGAGAGTTCCTTTCCACACCTGCACAAAGGAAGCTGCCTCACGATGTTCTGGGTTTAGAAGTAAGAATGAAAAGTAATTCCCTGCCTTCATGGATTCGTAGTCTGGTATATAGAGGCACATATAAGCATTTAGAACAACAAGATGCTTTGAGACTGAATTGGCACAAAGAAGGAAATAAGCAGGGTGGAAAGATGAGAGTGTCCAGCGAAGAGCTCAGAAGAGGGTATTTCTGATGAAACCCAAAGGATGAGAGGGAGCCAGCAGAGACCTAAGGTGAACATCTCCTGGTGGAGGTAATAGTGATGGTAAGGAGGGTTTGGTGTACTTGAGGCCACTGTCCCTGGCACAGAAGAAACAGGAGGAGGGAGTGGTGTGAGAAAAGGTGGGAGGCATGTGCAGGAAGTAGACCGTGGAGATCTCCTGAGGACCCAATATGGTTTAGGGCCTCTGGAGTTGGCACAGAGGTGATGTGAGCTGAAACAGAAAACCAGCCAAGGAATGTCTTTGCAACAGTCCTAGGGATAGATAGTCAGTGCGGTGCCATGGACAGGGGCAAGGAGACAGATTCAAGGTGTATTTTGAAGATACAACCAATAAGACTTGGTAGGTGGATATGAAAGGAAAGAACTAATTAACTTATTGTCAGCTCCATATTTTTTTTTTTTGGTGGGGGGATGGAGTTGGCAAAGGTGGATGCTAGTACCATTGAGTAATCAAAAAAAGGAACAGGTTAGCAAGGGATGGGAAAAGCTGTGAATCCAAGAGTCAGTGCAAAGCTTCATTCAGTCATTCACCAATGACTGCTGGAACACTTGATCTGGCCAGGCATGTTCTAGGCATGGTACAACCTCAGTATACAAGGCCTACTGAGTTCCTCCACCCCCTCCCCTATAATAACCGGTTAATTGTGGAAGTAGACTTTCCAGTGGTGTTGAGTAATATGGAAAACAAACAAAGTGGTCAGGGAGATACAGAGTATTATTTTATACTGAGTGATCAAAAAGGTCTAACTGAGCAGAAACCAGAAAAGGGAAGGGACAGAGTCACATTTGGGAGAAAAATATCCAGGCAGAGGGAAGAGCAGGTGCAAAGGCCTTGAGCTTAGAGTGTAAAAAGAAGAGCTGTGCAGAGTAGCAATGGGAGGGTAAAAAGAATTGAGATCAGAAAGGTTGGAATGTCTGTTCTCATAAGACTTGAAGGTCTTGCTGTGTACAGTGGCCTCCTCCATTTCTTAACTCAGTTTTTTAGTTTTTGTAGGACTTTTGGCTGGGTTCAGAATTATTCCCCTCAGATCAAGTGCTGTTATTAGAAAATCTGGCAGAAATCTACTTTCCATTGCTTTGTTTGGGGTCCTGTCTTTGTTGGTTTTCCTGTTGTCTGTTTGAGACATGGTCTCACTATGTTGTCCAAACTGGCCTCCATCTCATGATCTTCCTACCCCAAACTCCTGAGTGCTGGGATGCACCACCCCCTATCTTGGTGTTTTGAAGATTCCTAAGTCTATGTCTTTCATTCATTCTGTGGAAACAGAGACCCATGATTTTCTTTAACTGTCTTTTTTGTCTTCCCTTCCATTTTCCCTATCATCTGAGCGACATAATGCCCTCTTTAAAAAAAAAAAAAGAAGTCTGCCTTACCATATTTATAGTTCCAATACTCTGCTAAATTTTAAATTTAGTCTTTATTTCTTCGTGCATAGTAAACTTAGGTTAACATTTTATGCCTGATAGTTTTGGTATTGGGAGCCCCAGTGGATATTTGTGTTGCCTATAAGTGTTTCTGCTGTATCTCATTCATATTGTCTTATCTCCTTTGCTCCTGGATATTTTTGACTGCCTGCTGGACATGGTATCTGAAAAGCTAGAGGCCTGAAGAGATACTACCTTCTTCCATAAAGCACTTTTAGTTGTACTTGCAACTGCTGAAGGCACCCACAGGGTACACAGTCCAGGTCAGGGATCAAGGTTTTCTGGGCTGCCTAGGACTAGAAGGTGGGTTAGTGCAAAAGCCAGTTTGCTTCCAGTTGACCTCATTCTGTGGTACAGGCATTTAGGGCACCAGCACAAGGAGTGGGGGTGGGTTAGCGGGGATTCCCCCTTCTAGTCTGCTGCTTCTTAAACCCCAGCCCTGGCTTTGGTCCCTGTAGGCCCTCAAATCTGTAGAAGCTGCTGCCTCTTTTCGCCAGCTACAAGCAGGACATGTTACTGATGCTTTGCCCGGGAGAATGTGGGTCCCCTCCCAGAGTCACTCCTCATTGTGGCCTCACCTGCTTTCTACCTTCTACAAACTGCCTAAAATCACTGGTCTGTTCATTGTCCTTTGAATCCATGACAGATGCTTTCAGGCACAGGTACAGGTAAATAATAACTCATCTAATGGTGGCTAAATAGATTTTTTTTTTTTTTCCTCTCCTCCAAAACCAGTCAATCTGGAGGCAGTTGGTATCCTGTATATTTGATTCTTCTAACTTTTTCTTTGTGGTCACAAAGGAGCTTTCACATGCAAATTCAAGCAAGAACTGAAGGAAGTTAGTACTAGTCACATCTACTTCACTGTCAGGAAAAGAGAAACTTTCCTAGAAACTAGCCTGTGCCTCACAGTCAACCGTGAAATCATTCGGACCCCGTATTACAAGGGAGGCTGGGAAAGTAAACAGCTTTTCTGTCTCTGTAAGAATACATAGGAGAAAAGCTCTTTGAGTCCTTCCACAGTGAACGGGGACACCACCAACTCCTCATGTGTTAAGTGTGACCCCAGCACTCTCTTGTTGCTGGGGTTCACTTCTTTGTGAACGCTTGCGGTGAGAACTGGTCATCCAGGTGAGAACTGAGACTAGTCCTTGAGATAACTGGAAAAGCCGAGCCATGGATGGAGGGTGGACTTCTGGCCAGCAATGCTGACTTAGCAGCCCTCTCGAGGGCTGTTAGGAGAACATCATTTCACGTTTAAGAGCCGTTTGTAGACTGTTTCCTTTTCTTTGAACTATCTGTTGGAATGTCATTTGTTTTTCTTACTGGTTTGTAGGAACTTTTCATATATTGTTGTAACTCATACTATATGTGATTTGAGCTGCCGGTGCACCTCAGAAGCCCCAAAGGTCCAGGTTTCTTTTAACTTCAAGGATACTGGCTCAGTGTACACAAAAAGACAGGAAGCAGGGGGTTGGGACACTTAGGTGCCTGGGCTTTGCAATGGCCACCCTTGCAAGTGTAGGAATAAATCCCAGTTTATTAATCCCAATTGGTTTAATGTGCAGCTAAACTCTGTTTGCTAAAATTTTGTCAAGGATTTTTGCATCATTGTTCATAAGGGATGGATATTAATCTGTCATTTTCTTGTAGTATCTGTCTGGCTTGAGTTACCCTGGCCTCGTAGAATCAATTAGGTGGTGTTCAGTTGCTTTAAAGTTTTGGAAGAGTATGTAGAAAATGAATGCTAGTTTTTAAATGTTTGATAGAACAGGCCAGAGATGCCTTATGTAGTGGGAGTTTTTTGATTATTGACTCAGTTTCCTTCCTAGTTAGAGATCTGTTCAGATTTTTTATTTCTTCATGATTCAATCTTGGTAGATTGTTTATTTCCATTTCATCTAATTTGCCAAATTTGTGTATATGATTGTTCATAGTATTCTCTTATTTATAATTTTTTGTGGGGTTGTCTAGGGTCTGAACCTAGGACCTAAGTATGTGCTGTAGCACTAAGCTACACCCCCAGTCCCATTTTATTTTTGTGGCATTGGTTGTAATTTTGCCTCTTTCATTTCTGGTTTTCATTGAGCTTTTTCTCTCTCTCTTTTTTAGTCTACCTAAGGTTTGTCAGTCTTTTCAATTTTGTTGGTCTTTTCAAAGAACCAACTCTTGGTTTTGTTTATTATCTCAATGATTTTTCTACTTTATCTCTGCTCTAATTTTTATTGTTTTCTTCTTTCACTTGCTTTGGTTTTAATTTGTTCTTTTTCTAGTTCCTTAAGGTGTAAAGTTAGATTGGTGATATGAGATCTTTCTTTTCGAATGCGGGAATTTACAACTAGGGATTTCCCTCTTAGCACTACTTTCACTGCATTCCAGAAATTTCAGTGTTTGTACTTTCCTTTTCATTTGTTTCAATAAGTTTTCTATTTTCCCTTGTGGTTTCTTCTTTGAATCATTGGTTTTTAACAGCGTGCTTTTTAATTCCAATGGCTTTTCCCATTTTACTTCGGCTATTGATATCTGGTTTCATTATTCCATTGTGACCAGAAAAGATAGTTTGTACAACTTCAGTCTTTTAAATGTATTAAGGCTTATTTTGTGGCCCAACATATATTCTGTCCTGGAGAATGTTACACATACACTTGGGAAGCACACGTATGGTGTTTGGTAGTGTGTCCTGTATATATTCATTGGGTCTAGTTGGGCTCAAGTAATGTTTATATCTTCTTGGTGAAGTGACTCTTTTATCATATAATGTCCTGATTTGTCTGTTATAAAAACTTTTGGCGTTAACAATCTTGTAACTCTCCATTTCATCTGATATTAGTACAGGTTGAACATTCTTAATCCACAAATACAAAATGTGAAATGCCCACAGTTGGAAACTTTTTGAATGCCATCATGACTCCACAAGTAGAAAAATTTCAAACTCTGGCCTTAAGCAGTCCTCTTCCCTCAAGTCTCCTGAGTAGCTGGGACTATAGGCACATATCACCCTACCCAGCAATAGCCTTTTTTGCCCCTCATTTCATTCCTTACTGTCTTCTATGTAGTTGCTTTTTTTTTTTACTGACATGTTTTGATTCTCTTCTCATTTCCTTTTATCTATATTCTATAGATATTTTCTTTGTGATTACTGTGGGGATTATATAAAACATCTGAAGTTTTTAACAGCCTATTTTTAAGCTGATAGCAACTTAATTTCATTTGCATGCAATAATTATACGCCCTTATCTTTATGTATTGTGTACTTGCTAGCAGATTTATAATTATTTTTATGCTTTGGTCTATGTAAATGCTGTGATAAGAAAGTTAAAAGTGGAGTTACTAATCAAAATGACAATGCAGGGTTTTGGGAATTTGTTTTTGTTTTGTCTAAGATAGGGTCTCACTGTATAGCCCAGAGTAGTCTTGAACTCTTGATCTTCCTGAGTGCTACCATGCCTGGCTACAATAATACAGTACAGATTTTTATATTTGTCTATTACTCTTTACTGGGAGAATTTTATGTGTTAACTGTTCTTTTGTTTCAACTTGAAGGAATCTATTTAGCATTTCTCACAGAGCTGGTGTGAATGTAATGAACTCCCTTGGGTTTTGTTTATCTTTGGAAGTGTCTTGATTTCTCTCTCATTTTTTGAATGGCAGTTTTGCTTACTATAGTATTCTTGGTTGTAAGGTTTTTCTTTCAGTGATTTAGACATTTTATCCCACTGACTGCACTGATAATCTTATTATATATCCCTTTTACATGTGAGTCACTTTTTCTCTTGCTGCTGTCAAGATTCTGTCTTTGACTTTCCAGGGTTTAATTATGATGTGTTCCTTTGGGGGTTTCCTATACTTTGGGGTTCATGGGGGGTTTTGTATTTGTAGATCCATGTCTTTCTTCAGATTAACTCTGCTCCTTTCTTCTGGAATTCCCGTAATGTGTGTATTGGTTACTCCCTGGCATATCCCATCAGTCACTTAGGCTGCTTACTTTTTCTTAATTCTGTTCTCTTTTGCTCCTCAGACTTGATGATTTCACATGATAATTTCACTACTTCTTTCTCTTACTTGTTTGAGTCTACCATTAAACCCTCTAGTGAATTTTTCAGTTCAGTTATTGTTCTTCAACTCTAGAATTTTTGTTTGGTTCTTTTTTATAATAGCTTTCTTTTTAACTGATATTCTAACTAGTTTTCCTGGCTTTATTTAGTTGTCTGTGTTCTTGAGAATATTTAAGACATTTGTTTTCAAGTCTTATGTCATGTCAGTCTCAGGCCTTTTTATATTTTAGGGTCAGTTTCTCAAGATTTATTTTGTTCCTTTGAATGGGCCATATCTTCCTATTTCATTGTATGCTTGTGAATTTTTTTTTAATATTAAGTATTTGAAGGGGAGAGGGAGAGCCACCTCTCCCAATCTTGGTAGGTCATCTCCATACAGGGGAAGCTAATAATTTATAGGGATTCATACATCTAGTTTCATAGGTGAAACAGGCCTAGAATTTTTCATTCCTTGGTCAGTTTTAGAATCAAAATTATATTTACATCATAGAATGGGTCAGGGGTGGCTCTTCATTTTTTTTTGTTGTTGTGTTCTCTAAATTTGTATAAGATTGGAAAAATGTGATCATTGAAAGTATCTTAGAAAAAAAATATATAAAACAAATCTCTTTCAAGCTGGCCGAGTGGCTCAAGCGGTAAAAGTGCCTGCCTAGCTAGAGTTGAGGCACTGAGTTAAACCCCAGTGCCTCCAAAAAGAAAAAACAGAAAGAAAGAAAGTGTCTTAGAAGCCACTTTAAAAAACCTAGTATGCTTGATATTTTCTTGGTGGTAAAAAAGAGTTATCCTTTTCAAGTCAGTTTGTATAAATTATGTTTTTCTTGGAACTTGTCCATTTTCTCAGAATTTTCAAGTTTGTTGGCATAAAGCTATCGAGAGTGCTCTTATCTTCTATATCTGTAGTTATGTCCCTTTTTTATTTTACTGTCATTTCTTTGAGCTTTCTCTCTTTTAGGGGGTTTGGTAGAGGGTCAATACTAAGGTTTAAACTCAGGGCCTCACTTGCTAGGCAAGAGCTCTCCCACATGAGCCACTCTGCTAGCCCAAGCTTTCTCCTTTCTTGATTAATCTTACTGGAGTTTGTCCTATAAGTTTTTGTCTTTATTCATCTTCTGTATTGAGTCTTTACTTTTCCTTTTTTTTTCTAAAATGTCTTTCCAGTGTTGCTTTTTCCCCCGATTCCTTAGGTTTGACTCTTGGCTTATCATTTTTTCATGTTCTCTATTATAATCTGCTTATTTTATTTATTATTTGTTTATTGGTATGTTTATTGAGAGGCAGAGATCTTACTTTGTTGCCTGGGCTTGTCTTGAACTCCTAAGCTCAAAGAATCCTCCCACTTCAACCTCCTGAGTGCTAAAACTGCAGGCATGTACCACCATGGCTGGCTCATAAGCTGTTTAATTTTGTAAATACTTCTAAAAGCCCCACTTTTTGCTGAATTGTACTAGTTTTGGAGATTTAGTGTTTTTATTGCTATTCTCTTGCACTATAAGACATTTTTTATTTTAGATAATTAAAGTGAATTTTCTATTTGACCTATGAATTTTTGTTTTGTTGGTATTCAAAGAATGTAATTTATGTCATGGTTGGGCAAACTTTCTATCTAAAGACAAGGTTGTTAACATTTTAAGCTTTGCAAACTCATCCAGCCTTTTCCAACTACCTCAGCACCTGAGGTTGTAGCTGTAGCATGATACACACAAACAGGTGTGGCTACATTTGGATAAAACTGTTTACCAAAATAGATGGTGGCTGGATTTGGCTCATGTTGAACCATCTTTGTGATGCTTATTATTTTGATAAGGTTTTGAATATTTCATGTGTGCCTAAGAAGAATATGTGTTCTGTGGGGCTAAGGGGTAGAACACATACCTAGTATGCATAGGACCCTGGGTTCAATCCCAGCACCCCTTTGCATCCCCCCCCCCCGCCCCAAATAAGAAGAGTATGTATTCTTTAAAACTGTGGTGCATCCTTTGTATGTCTGTTAGGTCATGTCTACTAAATGCTGTGTTTGTATTACTTTAACCTGAACACTTTTGCCTTTCTGACTAATCATTAATTAATTAATTCATTAATTGTGTATTAAAATCTCCAAGGGTGGTTTGTTCCTCTGTTTTGACTCTTTCCCTAATGATGTTTTTTTGTTAGTTAGTTTGTTTTGTTTTGTTTTTATCTACTTTGATAATGGTAAAATGAGTGGGTGTTTTTGTTTAGCTTTTGTGACATCCCTCTTGCTGTCTTTAATTTTCAACTTCCTGTATCCACATTTATTGGCTTTTTGTTTGCTTATTTGTTTTCATGATGCCGGGGTTGGAATAACATAGCCTTGCTCCTGCTATACAAGTGCTTTACCACTGAGCCATACTCCAGCCCCAAGAATATTTTTATATTTATCATATATAAATAATAGTTTGGCTAGATTAAAAAATGAGATTATAAGGGTTAGACTTTTTTTTTTTTTTTTTTAAAGACAAGGTCTTTGTACCCCAGGCTGGCCTCAAACTCATCCTCCTGAGTGCTGGAATTACAGGCATACACCATCACGCCTAGTGAGATTTCTTCTAATATATTAAAAAGACTCCTTTTTGTGAATCTTGGTATCTTTTTCTTAGTAGGTGATACATTCTTGTTCTTTAGAAATTTCCAGGATTTTTCTTTTTATTGTACATTTCCTCTGTTCTGATGTTATCTAGATGGCACATTTTCCATATTTTATTTGATCAGTCTAAACTGTTCACTTTTCTTTAATTGTATGATGTCTTCTGGTACTGTTTCTTCACCTCCTTCCTTCTCTCTCCTGTGGAATCCTGTCTTGTGGATGGCGGACTCCTCTGCCACTCTGTCTGCTTTCACTTTCCCCATTCAGCTTTTCCCTCCTCCCTACCTGTCAGAGCCTGGGCTGCTGCTGAGTCTGATTGGGTCTCCAGCAGCACCCATTCTCCTGCTGATCCCATCAGTGCCCCATGTCTCTAAACCTAATATCTACACTGGATTCTTTAATGTCATTCCTAGTTGTGTTACAGGTTTGTTGTCATGCTTATTTTAAAAATCCTGGGACTTCTCTTGCTGTTATAAGTGTCATCTGGTTGACTGTTTTTCCTTTGAGGCAGCTGTCCTCAGGATCTGCTTTTTTGGCCTACGCAATAGAGAACCTACCTAGCAGTGCATAGTACAGCCTGTAGTGCAAGTGTGCACTGAGGGAGGCATGGGCAAGGGCCAAGAGCAGAGACTAATATCAAACTAACATCAAAGCTAATACCAAGCACCACCTCACCCCATGCCTAACCTCCCATGCCTGGAGAGCCTTAGCATAAAGAGCATCCTCTCCCAAACATCCACTCTCCTTACCTCAGCTTTTCTGTGCCACCTCCCTATAAGGTCAAGCTCCATTGCCCAGTCAGTACAAGGTCAGCTGCTACTGCCACATTGTCTTACACTTGTGCCTGCCCAGTCTTTCAGCTCTGTGAGGGTTATTGCATGTAAAATCATTCTTTCTCTCTTTGATTTCTTCAGTGGCTGACATAGGTCCCTACCAAGACAGGGAAGTCGCTCATGATCTAGGTCTTCTCCCTGACATTTCACTCAGCTGCCACTCTGTGTCCACAGGGTCTGCGGAAGAGGGAGCTGCTGAAGGAGCTGCTACCAGTCATTGGGCAGAACCTCCGATTCCAGCGCCTCTTCACCGAGTGTCAGGAACAGCTCGATATCCTGAGGGACAAGTAGCCTACCCTGGCCTGCCCTGGCTACAGCATGGGCAGGGCCACACTCTCGCCACTAACAGATGCCCAGGGCCAGCCCCTTCCTGGCTGGGCTGCAGAGGGAGGAGGAGACACTGGCAGGAGATGTGCTGTCCTGCACCAGCGCTGGCCCAGATCCCTGGGCAGACGTGCCCTGCATCCTGGGCCTAATATTGCCTCAGAAGAGGGAAACTTGTCCCTCCCTCCAGGGCCCCCAACAGAGGGGGCTCTGCCCGGCTGCCCTGGGGCCAGCAAGGCACTCCCAGGCCTGCCATCTCCAGCTCAGTCCCGAGGTGGACACTAGCCCTTGCCGCTGCAGGTGCCGTGCTGCTTCAGCTATGACAAATGAGCCATTTGTGAGAGCGAGAATCCAGAAACATTAGGTATCATGCAGTCAGCAGACTGACCTGAGACCTATGTAAAAGGAAAGCTGTTCCAACACACGGACTATTTTTGTACTAGAATTTGCTAACTTGTAATATGAAATTTTCTTTTGGCCAATAATCAGGATATCCCTATAAGTTACTTGGACATTGGTCACTTGTAGGAAATTTAAACTCTAATTATGACACTGAAAAATAATTGTACTGAAATTAATTTGTCTATCTTCATTTGGTTTAATTTTTAAATTGTTTGTAAAAAGAGAAGTTTTGGGGGGGCGCGGGGAAGAGGGGAGGGGAATTTCTTTTGTAAGTGTAAAATAAATGAACATGCATTGGATACCAAACCATGTGGCCTCCCCTGCCTTTTCCTTCTAACATCCACTGTCCTCCCCCTCTTTGGATCTTGCTCCTAAAGTGGACACTGACAGACCATCAGAGCCCGAAAGGACCTTTTGATGTCATCTGCTCCCACCCTGTCTCCATGCAGAGAAGTTCATCTCTTGATGTGAGGATCATTCTGGTATTGCAGCACCTCTGGGCTGGCCTAGGGCTAGCAGGTAGGTATCATGGCCCAACCTAGACCTGGGACTAGCAGGCAAGTATTATGGTCCCAGCCTCGCTAGGCTATAGCTGGCTGTTCAGCCGATTTCATGAAAGGAAATCCAGTAAGTACAGGCTTGATGTACTAAATTTCCAGAGACCAAGTGTGGGGGTGCATATCTATAATCCCAGCACTTCAGTTGCACATGGCCTCAAGACCAGCAGGCCTGTCTCGGGTCCAAATCAGCAAACATCTGAGCCCCGTTTTTTTTTTTCAGCTATCAAATGGAGATGAGGGTAAGAAAGACTGCACAGCTATAAGGACAAACAGATCATGTAGACAAAGTCCTGGCACCTAGATGATGCTTCTATGAAGGAAAACATTGGCAATTGTTTTTACCACTACTGTTGGGAGAAGAAGGAGAAACAAGAAGTATAAAATCTGGAACTTCCATTTCCAGCTAAGGTGGAATATCAGGGACCAGATTTACCCTTCTGTCTGAAACAATCTGTGAGCCTGTCCAAAGCTGGTTTCAAGACACTGGATCTCAGAAACAGAGATAGGGATGAAGGTGTAGCTCGGCAGTAGAGTGCTTGCCTAGGAAGGAAAGGAGGGGAGAGAAGGGAAGGAAGGTCCCATCTACTACCTGGAGAAAGTGGAGACCAGCAGAATTAGAATTCATTTAACGAAAAACCCCAGAGAATAAAGAGCCCACTAGATACTTGCAGGGGACCCCTTGAGTATTCAGCTGAGCATTGACTGACAGTGAATGCACTTTTCTGAGGCCAGGCAAAGAACCATGTGAAAGGAACAGAGTGAAAATTACATGGCTAGCAGCCTCTTCAACAAAAACTGCTGGGAAAACTGGTTAGCAGTCTGCAAAAAACTGAAACTAGATCCATGTATATCACCCTATACCAAGATTAACTCAAAATGGATCAAGGATCTTAATATCAGACCCCAAACTCTTAAGTTGATACAAGAAAGAGTAGGAAATACTCTGGAGTTAGTAGGTATAGGTAAGAACTTTCTCAACAAAACCCCAGCAGCACAGCAACTAAGAGATAGCATAGATAAATGGGACCTCATAAAACTAAAAAGCTTCTGTTCATCAAAAGAAATGGTCTCTAAACTGAAGAGAACACCCACAGAGTGGGAGAAAATATTTGCCAACTATACATCAGACAAAGGACTGATAACCAGAATATATAGGGAACTTAAAAAACTAAATTCTCCCAAAACTAATGAACCAATAAAGAAATGGGCACGTGAACTAAACAGAACTTTCTCAAAAGAAGAAATTCAAATGGCCAGAAAACACATGAAAAAATGCTCACCATCTCTAGCAATAAAGGAAATGCAAATTAAAACCACGCTAAGATTCCACCTCACCCCTGTTAGAATAGCCATCATCAGCAACACCACCAACAACAGGTGTTGGCGAGGATGCGGGGAAAAAGGAACCCTCTTACACTGTTGGTGGGAATGTAGACTAGTACAACCACTCTGGAAAAAAATTTGGAGGCTACTTAAAAAGCTGGACATCGATCTACCATTTGATCCAGCAATACCACTCTTGGGGATATACCCAAAAGACTGTTACTCCAGAGGCACCTGCACATCCATGTTTATTGCGGCACTATTCACAATAGCCAAGTTATGGAAACAGCCAAGATGCCCACACTGACGAATGGATTAAGAAAATGTGGTATCTATACACAATGGAATTTTATGCAGCCATGAAGAAGAACGAAATGTTATCATTCGCTGGTAAATGGATGGAATTGGAGAACATCATTCTGAGTGAGGTTAGCCTGGCCCAAAAGACCAAAAATCGTATGTTCTCCCTCATATGTGGACATTAGATCAAGGGCAAACACAACAAGGGGATTGGACTATGAGCACATGATAAAAGCGAGAGCACACAAGGGAGGGGTGAGGATAGGTAAGACACCTAAAAAACTAGCTAGCATTTGTTGCCCTTAACGCAGAGAAACTAAAGCAGATACCTTAAAGCAACTGAGGCCAATAGGAAAAGGGGACCAGGAACTAGAGAAAAGGTTAGATCAAAAAGAATTAACTTAGAAGGTAACACCCACGCACAGGAAATCAATGTGAGTCAATGCCCTGTATAGCTATCCTTATCTCAACCAGCAAAAACCCTTGTCCCTTCCTATTATTGCTTATACTCTCTCTACAACAAAATTAGAAATAAGGGCAAAATAGTTTCTGCTGGGTATTGGGGGGGGGGGGGGAGGGGGGGGGCAGGGGGGAGAAATGAACCAAGCCTTGTATGCACATATGAATAATAAAAGAAAAATGAAAAAAAAATTACATGGCTCTTACTGAGGTGGGAATAGTGCGTGTTCCTTTTTACCAGACTGAAAAGAGTGATAACTCCCAGGCTTGGAATAGATAACTCAGTCTTGCCTCATCTCTTGTGAGGGTAGCTTGATAGCAGTGGAAAGTTGGAGAATCATGAGAGTGCTGCACCTAACAAAAAACTATAAAAGTAAAACCCAAAAGGATCCACAACTTAATTACATTGTAAAGTCCAAGAAGAATACAAATATGCAACAACCAACAAGTTTACATGTTAACAAGTTAACCATGCCCAGCATCCAAACAAATACAAGAAGGCATACAAAAAAGCAGGGAGTGGTCCCAAATATAACTTAGTCCAAATTGACCCAGAATTTACACCCAGCAGTAGCGCTAGCAGGGAAGGACATTAAGTAGTTAATTATAACACTATTCCTATGTTCAAAAAGTTAAGTAGAGACATGGAAGATCACAAAATCGTAACAAGATGTGAAAACTACAGCATCAAGATGAAAAAAATACATAGAATAGGATTAGTAGCACATTGGCCATTGCAGAAGAAAAGATTAGTGAACTTGAAGACCTAGTGATAGAAATGCTTCCAAAGGAATGCTTTCAAAGGAAGAAACAAAAACAGCATCGGAAAGCCACACGACAACTGCCAAGTAGCCTAATATACAAAGAATTGAATTCGTCAGGGAAGAGGAGGTTTGGTGTGACAGAAAAATTATTTCCAGGGACAAAAACGTGTCCTCTTCTAACTGACCCTTGTGTCCCTGTAACTGCCCCTTGTGCAGCTGTTTTCCCCTCTCCTGTACCCCTAGTGGCCACATCCACACCTGCTGGCCCTCCTCCCCCTTCCAGTAATTCCTCCACCTTCCTACTGACTCCCACACCCCTTGTCACTGCCTCCACCACTGTCCTTATTTCCAGGCAGAGCCCGGGGAGGGGTGAGGGACCTATATTTTCCTGTCCTGAGACTCTGCCTCTCTCAAAGTTCTAACTTGATCTCCTTGAGTACCTCCCAACTTAACAGCTCCCGATCACATGTGAGGAGTCACACAGACCTTTATAAAGCAGCCTGATGGCAGTGGAAAATTGTATATCTACACACACGCCAGGTGCACTCAAAAGGGAAAGCCAGTTCGTGTGTCTTCCCATATTCGACTTACTATCTCTGTCATCTCATATACATGGCAAGTATTTTGTACAGATTTTTTTCACCCTTATTGTATTTGTGTACTGACTTAAGTTTCTAATTTTTGCAAAATTTATTTTTGTTCTTTTACCATTTCTTTATTTAAAATTTAGAGCACTTTACCAAAGATACACGACTGCAAATAAAATGAGCATATAGAAAAAAAGATGTTTGGGCTGGTGGAGTGGCTCAAGTGGTAAGACATCTGCCTAGCAAGCATGAGGCCCTGGGTTCAAACTCCAGTGCCACACAAAAAAAAAAAAATCATTTGTCATTCAGAAAATGCAAATTAAAACCACAAAGATTCCTATTAAAAGGAAGGAAGGCAATATTGAGTATTAGGATATAGAGCAAGTGCAACTTTAATTGCTAGTAAGAAGATGAAATAGTATAGTTGTTTTGATAAACAGTTTTGACAATTCCTTATAAAGATACCCTTCCTGGGCTATCCAGGTATTCTACTCCTAAGTTTGTTTTGTTTTCAAGATGGAGTGCATTAACCATCATCACAAGGATTCCTCATGTTGCCTTTTTTAAAAGAAATAACTTTATTGAGCTATAATTAGCATGCAACTTATTTAAAATATCCAATTCAGTGATTTTTCTACTACAGTCATATATATAAGCAACCATCACCACAGTCATAAGAGCATTTTCATCACCTCAAAAAGAAACTCCACACTATCCATCATACCCCATCCTCATCATCCCAAGGCAGCCACAAACCTATTCTCCATCTCTATAGATTTGCCTATTCAGGACATTTCATATAAATGGATTCACAGAATAAGTGATCTCTTGTGACTGGCTTCTTTGATTTAGCATAATCTTCAAGGTTTATCCAAATTGTAGCATATTCCTTTGTATGGTCAAATTCTATTCCACTGTCTGGATATACTACCTTTTGCTTATTTAGTAATATGTCGATGGATGTTAGGATTCTTTCAATCTTTGGGCAGTTATCTGTAGTGGCACTATTCCAGTTTTTGTGGGAACTTGTTTTCTTTTCTCTTATGGGGTGACTCTATAATTAACTATTAGATAACGACCATTTTGCCTTCCAGTGTGGCTGCACTGTTATAGGTTTGTAGCAGTAGTGTATGAGAGTTGCAAGTCCTTGTCTGTGCCAGCATTTCTTATTATTAGAATATTTTTTGTTATTTGCACTGGGTTTGCACTCAGGGTTTCACACTTGCTAGGCAGGTAGTCCACCACTTAAGCCTCACCCTCCAGCCCCTTTTGCTTTCATTATTTTTAGAATAGGGCCTCATGTTTTTGTCCAA